GCCCGCGCAGACGGATCGAGGAGGGCGAACAGGGAGCCCGCTACGAGCGTCGCAGGAAAGATGGCGAGGAGGACGGTTTCGAGAGACGTTGGAAGAAATGGCTGTCTCCGCGATGACATCTTTACAGGAGTTGAAGTCGTCGTGGTCGAGATTGAGGGCGTTGACTCGGGTGGCAGATTTTGCGAACGTCGACGTGTCGCGGACCCCGAATCCATGACTCTGGACGCAAAGGGGAAGGATCTAAAGGTCTATAACATGAGGCAGTCCGAGTCCCGAACATGCAGGCAACAAGCTGATGTGGAGGACAGATGGCGAAGTGTGTCGAACGGAGGCGGAAATTCTTGGTACGCGGGCACTGATCTGTCGGCCTTGCTTGCCTATGACGTTAGATGCTGAGCTTCCATGTCCGGGCGTGGGGATGGGCCACCTCGGCGCAATCTCCCTGCAACTGCTTCAGAGCTGTGACACCTCCCCAGATCAACCTGTCACATACATACAATTCCTATCTCTCAAGACATCCAACCATGGTCTCTACGCGCGGCCATCCCAAAGCCTTCCCAGAGCCTGATCTCACTCCATCTAAGTCATCCAGCCCCTCCAAATCGTCGACTCCGTCGCGTGCGCGCAAAGGAAAATGGGCGCATGCGCCGCCGACCCTCGCCATCGTATGGCTCCTCGTCTCCCTCCCCCTCGTCGCGTGGGACTGCGGGTACGTGCTGTTGCGACCGCATAGCATGCCCGGTGGCAAGCTGCAATGGCCTCTGTTTGTCCCTTACGAGCTATATGTCGAGATGGACTACGTCTACGGTTGGAAGGCGTACAATGAACGCAATGGTTTCACTTCCGCGCAGGGCTTTCTGAACATCATCGAATCGCTTATGTATGTCTATTACCTCTATCTTGTCTTCACGCATGGCCGGAAAGCAACTGTTAGACGAGGCGCAAAAGCGACAACCGGGGGATTTCTCGCCCAGCGGTATGTCGACGGGAAGACAGGCGCGTTGGCGACCTTGTTGGTGTTCACGGCGGCCGTGATGACTCTGAGCAAGACTATTCTGTATTGTAAGTTTGCGCTCTTTGTTAAACACGTCTACGCGCGTACCATCCTCCGTAACTAATAAGATATAGGGGCTAATGAATACTTCTCTGGGTTTTCGAACATCGGCCATAACCCACCCCAGCTTATTCTCCTTTGGGTTGTTCTCAAGTAAGCCAATTATCTTTAGATTAGCCTCCTATCTAACATAATTCAGTGGCGCCTGGCTTGTCCTTCCGGCTTATATTACCTACTTTACAGGAGAAGAAATTCTACAAGGCTTGGCCGGTGGTACCGCGGGCTCTGACGAGGCGAAGAGCGAATAAGAGACAATGCCATTGTTTATAAGAGCGTCTGACGCATATGAAGCTCTACGCCTCTGGGTTACATCTACCTCTTTCCCCTCTTACTAAGATCGCCTTTCCACTCTGCTCCTTATAGTGGCCAGAGGGAGGGAGAAGTACCCACATTTGAGATTAACGACGTAATATTGAAGCATAGGCACGGTTTTGGTAACCCGCGCTTGAATAGTTTAGATATGTTAAAGTTAAGGTACAGGTACCATATATTGCTATTACAGCCAAAGTGGCCTAAAGCGGCCATACAACGATTAGGATTAGGGGTTGTTCCTATTCACAATCTCATATATATAGGTTAGAATGACAAGTGAACTTGTCTCTCTTTCTTACCTTTGCTCCTTGCCTTCTACAACGTCCAACCCTTTCCGGTTTCACTGCAGCTCCAGGCTCTGCGATGACACAAATATTTAGACCTGCTATTCACGACACGTGATGAAACTCTTCGTTATATTTCTCTATTTATTGTTGCCAGCAATCCCCAAGGCTATTCCCGCACTCTGGTCCGTATCTAATTTGCTAGATGAAGAAGAACTAGATGACGTGGCTGTCGATAAGCTCGAATTTGAATGCCTCCAAGCACAGCTAGGGATTACGGATACGTCTATTCAACATTACCATAAAGAAACGATTGGCGAAGATATTGCCATTGAGGAGATGTTTGAAGTCCGTGATAATGTTACTTCTAAGAGCTTTGAGAGTTTCATTTCCACTTATTCTCGCATAAATATTGTTTGCTATAGCAAATTTGTAAAAGCATGGAATTAGTTGAAGCTAAAAAAACGGCGTGGAACGATGGTCCTAGTCTTCATTCCTACACTGGAAATTCAAGGAATCCACCAACTCCGTAGTTATTTAAGTGTTTAAAGACGCAGGGCTGCCAATATACATTAGTGATAAACGTTGCGTTGCTTAGCACGAAGAAATATGTAACGAGGGCGTTGTAAGGAGTGCAAAACGTCTGAATTGAAGGTCTCCAAATTTTAAATGCACGCAAGGCCGCGGACGGGAATTCGATAGTGTTTTAGGACTTAACGAACACGTTAGGAACCGACATGACTTCTTGCTAACCTTGCCCAATTACCGATTGTAACCCAGATAAAATTTATGAAAGTTCAAGATCCTTGCAATACCATATCTAATAGCATCATTCCGAACTTTGGCCTACTCGAGTGTATATCCGGCCTGTACCTCAACTGATACCTTTAACATTAATAATTGCCATCCGCATCTTATCAAAGATCATAGGCTTGATATAATGCAGCTCTTAGCGTTGAAATATGGAATCCGCCCACGCTCCTCCCTTTTCCCAGCGCCTGAAAAGTCCTCGTGGGCGTGCTGCAAATTCTCTCTTTTTTTCGAGCTTATTTAGGTCGTTGTCAATGCCAGTCTTGACTCCCGCGCGCGTCGCGACTGAAATCTGGTTGGTGTACCATAACTCAGCTTTACCTTTAAGACATTGGTCCAGCTTCATTGCGAGGTTTCGGCTCTCCCAAGGCCCACTTGCTACACCCTACGTCTGTTCACAGTCGAGCTTATACGTATTTCTGATTAGGCTTGGTCATGCATACTTCTATAGGGAAAACACCTGCACGGGAGGTTTGTACTGGAGCAAGAAATAGGAACTCAAGGCGGATATTGTACTTGTGCCTGAAATAATTGTATACAGATATCTCTCTCTGTAGGAGGGTTAGTGCTTGTGTCCGTTATCTTAAAGATGTAGTTTCTAGAGTGCACGCCTTTGTCAAAAAAGTGTTTGTCGTTGCTGAAAGTAAACTTCAGGATAGTGTACTCTTTCTCGCTTTCAGCTTTGCCTCTATGCTTAACCCAAAACTTAAAGTTTTGTCAATTTATGAAGCCCCTTAAAATCTTCTGACATACTTATTCCTGTCTCTAGTTGGTCGCAGCAGATTTTGGAAGACCTGATACGATGGCCTGCAGTTCCTCGACTTGCACAAGTTACAGGCAGCTTGATGGAGATCTTTTGCAGCCTAGAATGTGCCATTTGCAACATCAACATTGAGCGCCAAGCCAGTTGCTGGGCCTCCGACAGATGACTTTGGACTGCACAGGCGGATCGAAGTATAAACCCCGCGCATTGCATCGATGCATTTGTCTAGAGAGCGACGCTGTTGGCCGCGGGCGAAGAACAATCGCTTGCAGGACAAGAGTGTCTGGGAAGGGCCTATGCGCATAAGATGATCCAAGAAGTTAACGTTCTCCAGGACCGAGTTGTCAAATTGCATTTGAATATTCAAGTATACGCTAAGACAAGCCATTCTAAGGGACTTTGTAGGGCGTATAATACAGAAGACTTCGTCAGGACTACTTGCTCGAGGCTGACGTCCTTGTTCCGCATCGAGATTGACAAGAAAACGCTGCTCTGGAACGTTATAAGAAGTCCAAGCAATTTTATTACCGTCCCAGAGCCAAGGCATGCCACCGGTAAGAGCACGAAGCTTGCCTTGCAGGGGTTTGGAGTTCCAAACTTTGAGGATTTTACCGCGTTTTTCATCGCCTCCACCGATAAGGACATCGTACTGATAAACGTCTTTTGTTGGCCACTGGGTGACCTTGAATTGGTCACTCGAATCTGTACTGATTTTCCTGCGGTCCTGGTTCCAGCACGTCGGGGGAGACTTGAAGAATCCACATTGGTGTCCAAGGCATAAGCCGCGATGGGTAACTCGACGCGAGTATTGGTGATAATTGATGGCTTTGCCGTAGCTGGCTTGGCCGGGTCGTATCCTGGCCCAGAGGGAAAGGGATTCTGGCGAGTCTGATCACCCTGAAGTCTGGCTAGCTGGGCCATCGTAAGGAGCAGGGCCGCGTTGACCGCTCATGTTGCGTTGCTGCTGGGGTTGATCGGTTCGACCAGAGTCCTCACTGTATGATTGGCGCGCACCATTGGCACCCGCGCCACCAACTATGTTAGGCACGTAGTAGGATTAGGATTTTGATATTGTGTATTGCTGTCCGTGTAGTCGTGCTGTGTGTATGCCAATCGATGATTGGTTTGAGGTGGATTGCTACCAAATTGTGAGAAATATGTAGTCTTGATAAGTTGTTGTAACGTACTTGACAAGCGAGCTGCGCATGTATGTGAGCTGCGCAGTGTCATTTTGCCGCAAATTAAAAAAAAACCTGTTCCCTATTATATCAACAATAACACTACTTATTACTTATATACTTGAGAAATAGTTGGTTTAATTTGTAAGCGATAATAATCTCTTATTTTATTCTAAACCTAAAATATCTTAAAACTACCTCTTTTTAGCCCTTAAATTTTATATTTAGATATATATAGGAGTTTAGAGCCTGACGGCTTGTCTTATAATAATTAGAGGTGGCTAAAAAGTTTTAAATCTTGAGTTTAAGGTTTATATGTATTATTGTTGTTGATATAATGGGGGATAGTTTTTCATGATTTTGAGGCAAAATGGCACTGCGCAGCTCACATACATGCGCATCTCGCTTGTCAAGTACGTTAACTTAATCAAGCCTGCAACAGTCACGTAATCACGTGTGAAACGGTACCCTTTTAAACCCCAAATTTGAAAACTGTCGCTAGATATCATCTAAAAAAAAATATTAAAAAGGATATCATGTGCCTTGACTCGGAATTGAACCGAGGAATCTTTGCATTTGTTGGAGACATACAAGTGCAACGCGCTACCACTACGCCACCAAGGCATTTAAACGTTGTCCCAAACTTCTTATTTAAATAAATATTAACCGAAATCCTTCTCAATTCCAACCGGTCCAGATCCCAGACAGGTTAAGCGATATGTTAGGGGCTGGAAAGGCGGTCACGTGGGTATTTGCATAAAAGCTCAAGCATAAGTTACGAGCTTTCCAATAAAAGGGTTCGAGAATGGGCTAGGTGATTATAATCCCGCTTTCGGCCTTCCTTTGTAGGATCTGGTCTAAGAATTAGTATCGTTACATGCGGTTCTTCTACATGTTTCAGCTTGAAGATTTTCCCATCTAGAGAGTACAAAGACTATGTTACTGCTGCTACCTCCAACACGGCGCCTCGCTACCGAGCATAGAGCGTGGCGGTGATGAGAGCGCTCTCCCAGAGCATGAGAGTTACGTTAATGAGGGCGTGTCGCGCGAGCGACACACCTACCTGAATGATCGTAGTATAAATTGTAGGGTCATGCGTGGAGGAGACGGGACGAGGAGTGCAGAGCCCAGGCCCGCTCTCGGACCGGTCAGTGGTTTCCCACGGTCAGTCGTGTTTATGACATCTCCTCGCCGGCCATACGGGATGGTTATATAAGTTGCGATGGTAATTTCAGCAGCGAAATGCGGCCAGGAGCGACCCCGGGGTCGAGGAGCATCTGGGCCGGAGAACGAGCCCGAGGGAGATGAGGATGGACTATTGAAATCCGTGCTCATCGTGCTGACAGGTTCGTCGGGGGCGCGCGAACTACCCTCGGTAGAGTCTAATACGAGAGGGAGTGAGGCCGAAAATAACCTCCTGGCAGCGATGAGACGGGGGGTGCACACAAATGCCCATCTTTGCCCTTCGCTCCCTACCTTCGTTCAGGGCTTGAGTCGTCCTCGGTCTTGTTCGTCGACGCTGGCCGGCTCGGCCGTACCGCAACTCCTCCCTTTCCTGCTTTGGTCAGCGCATACGCTGAGTGGCCGGCGCTGCCAAGTCGCCCAGGGACGTGCCTGCGTGGTGCCTGCATTAGATTGTTGCCACAGAACCCGCCAGCTCCTCACACTCGTCGCGCCGAGGTCCAGGGCCCTGGGGCCGCACAGGGGCCGTCACAGGGCGATTGGTCAAGAGCAGCGCGCCCGCTGGGGGGTGAAGTGCGAGATGGGGATCTGTAGTGGCTTCTTTGGTCGTGGATCCAGCGCGACGAGAAATTACGAGGACAGAATTTCCTCTGAGGGCTCTTGCGGCTAAACCCCATCGGGACCCGCCGTCAGGGGCACCTTGTTTACCTGCGTCCCTTCCCCCCTTTCGCTCCAGGCTGGAAGAACAACGAGAAATTAAGATTAATCTCCACTCCTCCACTCCCGGCCCTTATATCCCTCGCCCGCCGTCCCTTCCTCCCTTCTTCTCTTTCTTCTCTTTCTCTCCAGCCCAGATTCACTCGTTTCAATCCAGCTCTGACCTCGGTCGTCCATTCTTTTACAGAACATCCAACTCGCTGAACCCGCTCTCCCAGCCTTAAACAAACTCACTCTATTTCCCAAACCCCCAAGTTAAAGGAAATCAGTCAAGATGCGTTTCTCCGTCGTTGCCGCTTCCCTCCTGGCCGTCGCCACCGCCGAGTACACCGTCTACACCACTGAGGAGTACACAATCACCTCCTGCGCTCCCACGGTCACCAACTGCCCTGCCCGCAGCACCGTCGTCAGCACCACCTCTTACCCGGTGATCTCTGCCACCAGCGCCCCGGTCTACTACAACACCTCGTCCGCCGCTGCCCCAACCTACCCAGTCAGCACCCCCGTTTACCCAGCTTCCTACCCAGCTGGCTCTGAGACCAGTGCTCCCGCCTCTTACCCAGCTTCTTACCCAGCTGGCTCTGAGACCAGCGCTCCCGCCTACTCTCTGTCCACCATCACCATTAGCACCTGTAAGTAGCGCAGATATCTGGCCGGTTTACCGGAATCTATCAGAACTAACCCCCGATCTTAGGCATCCCAACGGTCATCTACTCCACCTACACCGTTATCCCCACCACGGTTGCTTCCACCGGTGCTGTCTCTTACCCCACTAACGGCACCGCACCATCCTACACCGCCACCCCAGCTCCCCTCACCGGCGCTGCCTCTGGTCTCCAGGCCTCTCTCGGCTTGGCTGCCGTCGCTGCTGCCGCTGCCCTCCTCATCTAAGGGGTCTGATGTCTGGCCGGTCGCTGGTTCTGGAGTGGTAATGGCTATCGCCCTCGCGGCATGGGGCGGATCGACGGTGAAAATTTAGACGTGTCTTTTCGGACTCTATGGTCCCGGTCGTTTTTGTTGCGCGCACCTTAATTCTGGCATAGCTTGGGCTTGCTCTTTGCGTATTTCTGGGTCGGAGTCGTGTATCATCACATTTGCCTCGCTATAATCAAATGATTTTGATCCTCTTACCCTATTAGTAGCTAGCTTTGAGAAGCCTCCAATTCAGTTCCATTAACTTTTACCTCTTCGTCCGCCCTTGGCTACCGTGTCTTGTGATCGCCGTTCTATTCCTAGACCTCGCCGACCGGAAGGCCGTATGCCCTGCCGTTGAAGCTCCTTTATCTGTAACTCCTGCGTCTTCCGCTGCCGGGGTGGCCCGCATAACATCAAACAGTGAAACAGGCTATAGATGCCAGACCGCAAAGCTTAACTTTTCCTGGGGAAGCACCTCGTTACCCGTTGCCTGTTGCTTGTTGCTTCGTCCCGTAGTCCGAGCGAGAGTATGGCCCGGTTCCATCTCATCTCATTTCGCATCGAGGTATTCCCAGCGTGTGCGCATTGATGAGGCGTTCCTCTTCTCTCGACGTTGCATGTAAAAGAGCTTCGCACTGTGCCCGGCCGTCAAGGACGTACAAGCTTCTAGAAAGCAATCATACCTCTAATTCCTGTCCTCGACTCTCGCATAGTTGTGTCAGCAACATTGGTTCCCCACATTTATTGCAGCATGTCTCAGTCGCAGTGCGATTGGTGTCGTTAAGTGGTGTTCCATGCGTCTTCTCTACTATATCCTGTCTCTCTTCTTCTAACCTTCATAAATCTCCTTTTTATAGTGCTGATAAAGATTCTCTCTACGGAAAACTTCCCACAAACTGCTGCTGACTGCGTGCCACGCTTCAGCCATGCTGGCCCACTCCTTTGCGACCTCGCTCTCGCTCCTTTTGACGTCAAAGCCTCGATGCCTGAGAAAAACCAATCAGGCCCCGAGCTGAGTCGGCTTCCCAGTGGAAGTCTGCGGAATGTTTGCATTCGAACAGCGCAATGCAGACCGCCGACGACTTAATTAGGACGTGGCTGAAGGCAGTTCCTTCTAGCTGCTGACGCTTCCCACGCTCCGGAGCTCATCGCCACCCAACCCGTGCTTTCCGCTTACAGCCGCCAGTCGCTTTATCTCACGGCAGTTCGATTTACGTCACTACATGGCTTTAACACCCAATTGACCTCCCAACTGGTAGATAACCACGTTCAAAATGGCAGTGAATGGAAGTAGGATGAGCCTGGCAGCTTCCCAGGCTGGGGCGCCATCCGACAGTCCTCGCGACAAGATGCAGTTATCTATTGTCACTCCCCACTCACCCGAGATGTCTGAAGATGCGTCCGACGAGGCAGACGAGATAGCTTCTGGACGCAACAACATGACGGACGAGGACGCTGAATCACTCATTGGACTCTCAATGAGCCATGTCGCGACGCGTCTGAAGTCGCCCAGCACTCCAGCGGTCGAGAAGCGGAACGCGCTGGAGGATGGAGATCGGTATATCGGGAAGGCCCTGGAATCGCCTCTTTTGGAAGAATTGCCTGCTGAAGGTGGACAAAGAGTGACGACTACACCTCCTCCGATGCCAGAAGAACGAGCCAATTTCTTTCCGGGCCAACCGGCTGTCAGGATGTCAATGCCTCCTGGCGGGATCCCTCGAGTTAGCAAACCGTCGGATCCCCCACAATCATCTTTGCACGGAGTCTTCAGTGGGTTGGATAGGAAGAGGTCACTCTCTGGTGGCGCCGATGCGCTGAGGAAACTGCTGCCCAAGAACTTGCCATCTATAACAAATGTTGGAAATCTTTTCGCTTCATCAACGACTTTCCAGAGGACCTTAACCATACCCAAAGAATCAGGCCACACCCGCTCACACTCTGCTCTAACTACGGCGGTCGAACCTTCCCTCTCTGCAAGGCCAACGGAAGCGCCCAACGCAGCTGTTCTCCGCCATAGCACCTCGGATGACAATCTTCTCTACCACACCTTGAGCCGGGCCTCGTCCCTTGGAGATGATTCGCGTTTTGCAAATCAGCATGAGCAGGTAAATTCACGAGTAAAGGCCATTAGAGACTCGTTGTATGATCGGGCCAATTTTAAATTGCCACAGATGCCCAGTATGCCAAGTATGCCTAGCTTCAGCTTCAACCGGAACTTTTTGAACTCTACCGGCGTTCCTATCAGGTGGATCTCCGATGCTGATGTGCTCTCAGATATCTTGCCAAGTACTGGGATTAAAAAGAGGGCCTCGACGGTGCCAAACCCTACTGCCCTACCAGGAATCACTAGTTTGGCCGCCTCCAGACAGGAGGTTCTTCCGGAATCTGCCCGACTTATCTCTGAATCCCCCCACTCGCACCCTCTAGATCGGGTCTTAGAATCATTGACTGGTGATGTTGTGATTATGGGTGGTTATCGAGGTTCGGTTCTGCGTTCGACCAAGACCAATCGACAAGTTTGGGTCCCTGTGAAGGTCGGCCTGAACATTCGGAAGGTGGATCTGGAGGTTGGCTTAGAGCCAGAGGACGAGGAGAGGATGCACGAATCTATATATGCATCCGGAATGCTGCAGAATATTGGTCCTGTTGACATATCCAGGCGCCTTATTAAGCGGCTCAGTGAGTGTGAGAATGCGCGGAATGGCAAACTACGAGTTTGGGACTACGGCTACGATTGGCGACTGAGCCCGCACCTCTTAAGCAAGAGATTGCGTGCCTTTATCGCAAGCCTCCCGTCGAACCAACCGGGT